TATCGTCTGTCCTTAATGAACGCCTGTAACGCTGTACACTTGATTGTTTCTGACAATTTATTGTGTTTTTTTTTCCTTTGCACGAGGTATCACTATAATGACAGGTTATTTTGGTCCACCATTTATATAAGCAAACAAGAGGCCTAAGGACCTTAAGGGTCACCTGAGTATAATATACAACTCTGTAGAGGATCCATAGAAGTATAAAACAAAATTAACTGAAATATGAAGCTATGTTGCCCAAGAATTTCAAAAATTGGTAAAAACATCCTTGCACATTGTAACGTGCAAGACCCAAAAAATCTCTTTGGAATCGTACTTGGTTTTCCAAAGTCTTACAGGGATGATAATATGAATGCAAAATATACAAATACATGTACAATTAATGAACACTGGCCTAGTGTGTAAGGTATTCAATATATACAGATGTGCTTTTGTCACTTGCCTGGTGCTACAGATAAGTAAACAAACAGAAATTTACTCGAGGTGATGCCTCTAGGCTACATAAACAACTTAGCTGCTTGCCACTTGGTAATCCGAAATATCTGACGTTTTCCTGGCTTTTTTAACGATTTGATATTTTACGTGCCAGGAAAACGTCAGAACCGGCGCCATTACGAAAACTGGGAATTCGCCGCCTCCAACCGGAGGCGTTATTCTCGGGTTGATTTTTTGATACTTGCGAACCGAATTAAATGTCAAACTCACAGCATATCAACAGTACAGTACTTTAATACTCACCAACATCGTTTTTATGGTTCGTTTATATAGTGTATAATCCGATGAAAACATTTTATCTGACTGTCGAGATTTGTTTTCATTTCGTGCATTTTAAAATCTTGCAAGTCCTGTATCAAATGTGCAGTGATGTTTTCTTTTCATCGATATCGTCGAGTACTAGAAACATTGTGCTATTGATAACGCAGGTAGGTTAAGGCTTCCCGTAGAAAATCACAGTGCACTCTGTGCCTTCACTCCTCTGAACTACCAAAATATGACGTCATAATGGAAAATGACGTCAAGTAAATGCCAACTTGAGGTGTTATGACGTGGAGAGTGTCATGAATTTTACACTTTATTTTAAATTGCATGTAAAATGCTAGATAGCTTTTGCAAAATACAAGGGTCGTTAAAGGTTTTTTAAGTCTTATATGTCTGAATATTTTAAAAATACATCGCTTACGTACCCTTGATTGAAATTCATCATGTTCAAAATGCTTTCGAAAAATTTCCTTTTGAAATGTACCCCGTGGTTTGAGGTAGAATTTATTTTGTGTGTATAAAAGAGTCTGGCGCAGGTGATTAATGAGGATTAATCCGAGATTTTTTGTGAAAATCTGTAAGAAGAGGTTGTTCTCTAACTGAATCTTGCTTGGGAAAAATGTGTGATGGCTTTGTTTTAATACAGATTACGATATTTTGTGGAAAATACCCTCAAATTTGTAGGTAAGTTGAATTCCTCACGAAATATTTTGTACCCAAGTAATACTATGACTTTTCCCAAGCACATTTCGGATACACAAGGAAACGATGAGTTTATTTATATAACAAAATGTTAATAATTATTGTGTTAATCAGTTGCGCCGAAGCGATTTATGTGAAGCACTTCGAAAAATTATAAATGACCGTCACGTGATCAACAAAGTCATGTGATATCATAACAAACATGTTAATATAAAGCCGAGGGAACCCTCTATACAAATTGGACGTACTAAAGTACAAAACTTAGAAATTAAAACCAAAACCGACCTCGCAGTGAAATATTATGTTTTGAGCGCATTTTAAAGCTTCGGGAAGCCTTAACATAGCTGCGAAATTGTGAGTTTGGCATATAATTCGGTTCGCAAGTATCGAAAATCAACTCTGGTTGGACATGTTGGAGATGGCGAAATTTCCAGTTTTCGTAATGGCGCCGGTTGTGACGTTTTCCTGGCACGTAAAATATCAAATCGTTAAAAAAGCTATGAAAACGTCAGATATTTCGGATTATTATACCTCCACTGTAATTACTCTATATAAAATTAATACCATAAAACTGTCTATTTCCACGAGAAGAGACTATTTCCCTCATCTGAGGACTACTCCCTGGAAAATCAGAGCTACTCCCTGGGACTACTCCCTCATGATTTTTTAGTAAATAAATCAATATTTATTAGTAATTTTAACCAATCAAAGTGTTCAGTGGGCGGAGCGTTTAAGAAATCTCGAGTCTGTGACGTCATGTTATTAGCAATGTAACTATGACGTCAAAACATTTCGACATGCGATGTCAAAATCATACTTGGATTCTAGCGAAATGAAGGCAACGATAATTCTTCGAAATGTCAGTGAAAATACTTTTTAAAAATAATTTAATTGTTTTAGGACACGATGCATTCTTACTTATAACAATGTGTTAAACCGCATGTATTTGTGATTTTGCCTCTACATTTTTTTTTTTAAATGTCGGAATGTCTGGTGAAAAATTTAAATCGTCTATGATTGTTTCGGTATAATAAAACAGTTATGGAATGGGAACTCGGGAAATAGCAAATTTATGGTTCCCCTCGGCAGGAAACTATTTCCCTCGGCGGCTTCGACGCCACGGGAAATAGTTTCCTCCCTCGGGGAACCATAAATTTGCTATTTCCCTCGTACCCATTCCATAACTGTATACTAGCCACTTGGTAACAGGTACCAATATTCTTGGATATAACAAAAAGTTGGCAATACTTGTTACCAGCACTCTCCACTTGGTTTAGTATACAACATGGCTATTTGCCACTTGTCAGTAACTACAACATTTACCCTAGTCACCCTGCCTTTCTGTTCATTTTGATACTTTTTGCAGTCTCTTGCCACCTAAACTCTGATCTCCATGAATTTACCTGACAATAAGTCATCAACTGTCAAACAGAACACTACAGTATACACATAATGAGCACAAATGGCCCTTTTGCTACATAAATAATCTTTATATCAATTTTTATACTGCTTTCCAGGCAATAATCTGACTTTGAGCATGCTTTGCTCATTTAAACCAAAAATTCACTTTTATTTTGTATCTATTTATATAGCATTCTTTCTTGTATTTTCATTTCATCAAATAACCTGTTAATTAAATTATATACAAGGATTTCCTGATTTAACACAATTTAGCAAAGGTGAGTAACTCTCATTTGCTTCACTTATTGCAATTTTGTTCTCTGTTTGCTTCCTCGATACCCAGGAACAGAGAAAAGGCACATATGCTTATAATTATATTTATATTATTGCTTTTAGTCTGTTTGCTTAATACCCAGGGGCAGAGGAGGAGATTTTCAAGATATAAATGCATTTTTGCTATATAATCAATAGCGCCCCGTCCAAACACCAGATCCCCTGACCCAGAGGCCATGAAATTCACAATTTTGGAAGAGGCACTTTTGCCCATCATAACTTTGCATTTAGTTTGTTTGCTTAATACCCAGGGGCAGAGGAGAAGATTTTTAAAGCATTAATTCATTTTCAGTATATGATAAATACTACCCCCACCCCCACCCACAGAACCCCTGACCCATGGGGCAACATCTTTCACAATTTTTAAAGAGGCACCCTTCCTCATCATAACTATGTACTTAGTTCATCGGCTTAATACCCAGAAACAGAGGAGAAGATTTTCAAAGAATTGAAGCATTTTCACTATATAATCATTAGAGCCCCACCCTAACCCCTGATCCAGGGACCATGAAATTCACAATGTTCTTGGATTTATAATTAATAAACTTGATAATTTTACAAAACTGAAAAGAAACTTGAATTGGAAAACTTCAGTTTCATACAGCCAGGGAAATGTTTCAGAATGCTAATGGGTATGGGACCTGGAGTAGTGATACATTCTGAATATGTTAAACTGTAATTTGAGACATATTTAATATTATTCATCTTCTGTTTTTATGTTAATTTTATTTTTGAATTTTGTATAATGATTGAATGAATAAAAGAAGTAAAAATCTTTCACTTAATATTTCCCAATATTTCCCAGTTTAGAGAAAATTTGTAGTGTTTCCTGGGACAGGAAATACCGGTTTTTACCACTGGTATTTCCCAGTCAACCCTGACCGACGGACAACTGGTGATCAGAAAAGCTCACTTGAGCTTTCAGCTCAGGTGAGCTAAAAAGGGGGGGGGGGCTGAAAACATAACTCAAGATCACTGGGCCATAACGCTCATCTTGGATCTGCTGTTCTCCAGATCTCTTAAAAATTTTCCTCTCTTTATTCTGATGAGAAATTTTGACCCAATTTTGTGACCCCACCCCACACCAGAGGATGCTGACTTAATTTAAATCCACTGCATCAATATCAGTAAGAGTGGCCTAACTGTTCTGGAGGAAAAAGGTTTTCTCTGTATATAAGCATTTTGTAAAAATTATTGATTAATCATGGCACTTGTTTTTAAGAGGAAAATTTTCAGTCTTCCCCATAACCCCCCCCCCCCCCCTGGAAGATTTTCTACCCATATTGTGACCTGATCTTACACCCTTTTTGTCTGATATGACAAATTCTGGCCTGCTTCTCGAAATTTTTTCCTTTATATTCTGATCCCCTATTGGGACCCCTTCTTAGTCCTGGGGGCCATATAAATTTAAACAATGTAGAATCTATAGTTCTATACTATGTCAGGAAGGGAGCATAGCCCTTCACATACATAATTTTGAATCCCCTTTACTCAAGGATGCATTGTGCCAGTTAGGTTGAAAATGGACCAGTGGTTCTAGAGAAGTTGAAAATATGTCATATAGAAGGAGGGACAGATGCCAGACAATGGTAATCACAAACACTCATATGAGCTTAAAGCATAGGTAAGGCTAAATATTAGACAACTTTGTTTCAGTGCATGGTGTTATGAACAATATTTATTTTGCAGACATTTTTACCATGATGCCAGGCATCCTGGAATATGTCTGCAGCATAATGTGGTTCAAAACACTATGTTCAATGAAAAACAATTACAAGTATTTCTTAAATGAATCCTTCTTCACAAAAAAATATATTGTGCTGGATTCATTCATGTCATGATTTTATTAAATCTTAATCCTGCAACTTTCTGCCTTTTTGTATAATCATACAGCAAAATTTTGATTATATTTCTGATAATAATCATGAGTCTAAAAAAAGAAACATTATTGCATGGTGATATGAATGAACACAAATGTAAACGAGACAGAAATGAGCTTACACTGTAAATATAATAAAAGTATTATACCTTGGCAAAACATATTAACACTGGGAAAATAGGTGTATAAATTAGATAAAAATAGGTAATATTGTTATTTGAATGGAGAATACAGCTGAAAAAAATAAAATGTTTATGGAGGATATTATGATAATCAGTGAATTCACAACCTGCTGTACAACCTGTCACTAAGACACTTAATCTTGTAGGACTCAGAAACCAGCAGCAGTTCGACATTATGCAAGAGAAAAACACACATCAGCAGTGCACACTTTTATACACTCGATCTGTAATACATGTATCATAGATAATACTTGTGGTTTGTTTACAATGGTTTGTCAGTTTGTTTCACACTTCGGAATGTATAGCTTTCTTGTATATGATATCACAGATGAGGGCTGCTAAAACAGTTTTAATACATATAAAACTGAAGCACTTAAAAACAGTAACAAAGTGAGCTGACTGGACATAATTCCAAAAGTCATTCTGGACGGTTATTTTATATTTCTCTCTGTCTGATGAGAAATTCATTTCTCCTGATACCATGCTGGGCACTTTCACAAAAATACACAGTGGACAGTTAAAATGGAATCAGTTAAATCACAAATTAGGGGTGGGAATTTGAGATCCTTGGAATTCAGAATGGGATTTTAGCCTGCTCCTCCAGAAAAAGAAGCTGATCCACCAGGAAGCAGTCACTGGGGTTCTTGACAAATTCTCGGAGACCCTGCATGATGGTTTCCTCCGAGTCCACTGAGGAAGTCTTCAGGTATCGCGCCTGTTTCAGGTAATCATAAGCCTTCTGGAATGCCTCCTCTCCCAAGATCCTCTTACACTCCCTTACAGCAAAAAAAAAATAATGTGTCCAATCAATCATTAACTCTTTTAATGATATATAATTAAAACTTTTTTACCTCCTCTTCAATAGTTCCAATTTATAAATTTTCACATATTTTTGACAAATTTAGGACTTTATAGAAAATTCCCATACAGTAGAATATCCAGTAATACCTATTTAACAACATGAACATGCACAAAACATTTTTTTTAATTGATGTGTCAAAAACAGTTTGATGAATTACCAATTATCTTTTCATGGGAAAACCCTGAAAAATCTCCAGCAAACACTAACAATTTGCTCAACTTGACATAATTCAGTTTATTTTGTTCTTATTTTAATGCCTTGCTTATTTCTTCACATATTTCACAACAAAAAAAAAAATGTAAACAAACAAGTTCAATATGTAATATGTTATTTATCCCTAAATAAGTATTATTTTTTTGTTCATTTTTAATAAATACCAGTAAATGAAATCATTTTCTTTTTTTTTTTTTTTTGGTTAAGACTGCATAAGATGAAATATGTAGATTTTTTTCTGGAAACATTGGTTATCACGTTAGTATATTCATCATCTTTAAAGTTCAAAAGTCAAGGTTATTGAGGATACAGGGCTCTTGATTGTCTATATGTGGGACAGTTGAAAGGCCCCACTTGAAATTCAAAAGAGGCACATTTTGATGAATAAATCTATCATTTTTCTTAATAGTCAGTATCCCCCATAAAATTAAAATCATATATTTGGAGAAACAATAAATAAACTTGCTACTCATGCTTTTGCATATTGCAAAATGGAAATTTAGGTGATCAAACACTAGAACCCCCAAATATGATGAATTTTATTCCGAAAATTCCCATCAAGTTGGTAGTATTGTAACAGCCCTGTGCTCACTACCAAACAGTGGTGTGAGAGACCTGGGATATTACTGTGTTATCTTGAAAAGCATTTTAAGTGTTTTTATTACTACATGTGTTCTTTATTTGTGCAGTCGACAGACTGGTGAATATACATGTATTTTGAATTTACTTTTCTGATTGATTATCAACATCATTATAAATAAAATGTCAGAGCCTACATCTTATCCAGAATAAGTCATTTTGACAACCAACAGAATATTGATCACCTTAAGTGAAAATGATTGTCATTACTTAAATATCACCTGCACCTTCAAGGTGTAACATTTTCATTTTTACAACTACCTTGATATTTCAGCATTGCTATTGGATGCATTTGCACTTTAATGCATAGGATTTGACTGAATTTGAAAATGAACTTTTTTTACAACTACCTTGATATTTCAGCATTGCTATTACATGCATTTGATTTCCTTTAATGCATAGGCTTTTACTGAACTTTAAAACAACTTTGTTGAGGAAAGTTTATATCCAAATACCAAAATCTGCATAAATTGTAAGATCAGTTTTAAAAAGTCTGTATGCCTACTTCACAGAGAACATGAAATAGTAATAGTAAAATAACTTGATTACTTTGTGAGGTTTTTAATTTTTTGTTCCCTAACAACAGGCCCAAATGCACCAGCTTCCTTGTCATCTGCCAGAGACATGGTGGATTCTGGAAATATACAGAAAACATGATTTAATAAACTTGAATTTCCTGAAAAACAGAAAGAGCATGATAATTATTATAAAGACACACAAAAATATAAAAACACTTATTATTATCTGGATCTAATAAGGTGTACAAAGACTAGAATGGGCATTACAGTAAAACTATAATGAACTCACTGGGACCTGTGAAATTACTTCGCTATATCCATCATTTGTTATATACGTACAAGAAATTTGTTAAATTTATATAGCTGGGGATCCAAGAAAAATTTGCTATATCCATGAATTCGCTATATCCGTGTTCGTACTAAACGAGTTTTACTGTATCTTTAAATATCATGAGGCCAAAGGTTGAAGGCTGTACATGAATACACCTGAAGGTAAAACCTCTTAACACCTCCACTTTAACTTAGATAACCAATTTTATTTCCTATATTTTCTCTTATAATTTTCTTCTTATAATAAGTCTCTACTTGATATTTTAAGCAAAACTGCATATCTTGTCCAAGCATAAGATTGATACAAAAACAATTCATGCACTATACATAAGATTGATTTCAACAAAGCCTTAGAAAGACGTCATAGTTAACATTATCAATGAATTTATCCAATGATAAATTATAACTTATGTGGTACTGCAATTTACCATCAGCTTTAATAGTAGCCATTAATCAGAATGTACAATTCTAGCTGAACAGGAAATTAAAAAAAAAAAACACTCTTCCATTTTCTTCCATTATCACAGAATTTCCTTTTAAACAGAGACATAATTGAAGACCAAGAAATTGAATCACCTGACTATAATATAAAGTACATGTACTACGCTGTCTATATTTCTCACAATTTATTTTTACAGTTTGAATTCATGAGTAAGACCACACTTCTGCTAAATTTAAAGGTCAGCTTGGCAAAGTACTGCATGACAGAAGTTAGGAAAAGAAGTTGATATCTTTTCACACATTTGCCATTTATTTGTTTATATAACTGGCAAATAAACTAGTTCTCTGACCTGCATCATCGCCTTTGGCTAACACATCCTGCATAATATTGTATAACTGGTCCTCATCATCAACAAGAGTCCCCAAGTTTGAAGATGCCCTAGATTTTTCAGTACCCTGATATGGGGACGCCTCAGATTTATTAGCTTTTACTGTTCTCTCTATGACGGTTTCTTCAGCTTCATCTGATTCAGAATCATCACCAGAGAAATCATTATCAAACTGTGAGTAGTAAGTGTCCGCTAGTTCTGGGTTCTCAGGTATTCCTAAACAGTAAACAAGGAAACCTGGTTATTTAGTGAAATCTTGCAAAGTATGCTTTATAATAGTATTATGATTCAAACAGTATTGTGAAATTCAATAAACCAGCAGATCCAAGGGTTGAAGTAAGGTGCAATATCTCTTGATCTTCTGAGTATTCAATATACATGTATATGATAAAAAATTATGAACAGTCTGCCACGACAGTGGAAAATAATCTTTCATATGGATATCTACCCTTGGGAAAAAAAATCCTGGATCTGCCTAGGGAATAATTTTACATATATGTAAATTCTGTACATCAACCATTTATACTTAACATAAAATCAATATGAATACAGTATAAATATGTACTCTTTACATTTTTCTTTTAACTGGCAAAATGTATTACAACTTTGATTTACCTAAACCTGTGCAATCGATAAAATTAAAAAGATAAATATTCAAAATAATAAATCATTTCAATGGATTACATTTGTATATGATTTATCAAAACATCTAAAAGAGCATATATTCAAATTTACACATAAACAATAACAAAAAGAAAGAAATTTAATTTGCAAAAGAAGAGATATACTTGTATTTTTCAAAAAAGAGTTTTGTTAGATTGGTGCAAAGAAAAGTGTGAACAATGGGGAGATAATCCTACATAATTATAGAGGATTAAGAGAATGATTCTTGGTAGGGCTTACCATCTTTAAAATCTAGTGAAGAATTTCTGATGTCATAAATCATTTTATCTTTGAGGGGGGTTATAGGTCGTTCATCAGGATTACTAACTGATCGAGGGACTGTCAATGTTTTGGAAAGGGGCATGACTATGTCAGCATCATCATCACTTTCCTCGTCATCTTCATTTATCAAAACTGAAAGAAGACATCATGTGTTCTCTTTACTTTCACTTTTAATCTTTTAAAATAAAACATATGCTTTTTTTCTTGAAAAGGGCAGTGGTTCCAAGTTTAAATTTGAATGTAAAGTTTCAATATATTATTCAAATAATGTTGAATACATTTCAATTTGATTTCAGTTTGATGGCTTAGATACTGTATGGGTATAAATTGGTGCAATTCAGTGTTCATTTTTAGCAATCAATCAGTCAATTCAACACAAAAAAGGACTGCTATTAAAAAACACATCAGAGATATCTAATATCATGTTAGTATTTCTTACTGAACACTTATGATGCTAAAAATGACATCTTAAAACTTTTTTTTTTTACAAAAACAAGTATCATATTAAAAGAGGTTCTGAAATTGCATTCTAGGCAAAATTTCTGAATATAATTTTTAAAAAAAAAAAACACTGTGTTAGGTAAGGTACAATAAACATCACTATTTTTACCAAGTTTCTCTGGTCCAGAAAATCCTTTAAAGAACATTTCATTTCAGTTACACCAAAACTTTAAATTCAATGTTTATATACATCTATATACACTATTAATATACATAAATAAGTTTGAATTCAAGATTTTTATCAATTAGAATATAACATTACTTATTTTGGGTGGGGGTGGGGGGTGAATTCTGCCTGAAATTTTTTTAGAAGGTAATGTGGAAAAGTGCCACACACAAACCACTCACTAGGTGCAGTGCGGGACCCAAACCGACTCTTCTGACCTTCAGCTGCTATAGTAGGGCCTCCCTTCACAGTGAGAGCTGCTTTAAACATCTCCCCCTCCCCTGATCCTCCAGCCCATGCAGGCACCTGTCAAAGAGTAATATTAAAAAATGTTAAGAAAAATGCATAAAATTACTAGAAATTGATCTCATATACTGAATAAAAAGATTTATTATTTCTGCACAAAGAGACATCTTAATATGAAAATATCCATAACATAAAAACTGGATATAAAATACAATGGTATTATTCCAAACATCAGTAGCATTTCAAATGGTATATTGATTCATATTCTAAATCACTATACCATCCTAGTTTACTCACACTGGATTTATGGAGAGTACTCTGAATTCTGGAGTTTCTTTCCTGATTTTCTTTTAATTGCACTTTTGCTACCTCTCTGAAAAAAAAAAAAACAAGAGGCCCATGGGCCACATCGCTCAACTGAGCACATTGGCTAGGAAAAAAAGCAAAAAAAATCAGTTCAGTATTGAAAAGTTTATGGGGGGGGGGGGGGGGTTGGGGGGGGGGTTGAATTTTAAACTACCTAATGATGCGTCATATCAATATAACAAATGGCTTTGCTGTTCTTGAGCAGCAGACTTTTTTCCCATATATTCATTTGTAAAACTTTGATCCCCCATTGTGGCCCCACCCTACCTCCGGGGGCCCTCATTTGAACAAATTTCATTCTACACTCCCAAGGATACCTCCATACTAATTTGACTAATCATAGCTTTTCTGTTCTTGAGAAAAAGATTTTTTCCTATATAATCCTCTGTAAACTTTGACCCCCATTGTGACCCCATCCTATCCTGGGGGGGGGGGGGGGGGGGTCATGATTTGAACAAACTTCAATCTACACTACCTGAGGATGCTTCCATATAAATATGACCAATCATGGCTTTACTGTTCTTAAGAGGAAGATTTTTAAAGATATTTTCCTATATATTTCTATGTAAGACTTTGATCCCCCATTGTGGCCCCACCCTACCCCCGGGGGTCATGATTTGAACAAACTTGAATCTACACTACATGTACATGAGGATGCTTTCACTTCAAACTTCAATCTACACTACCTGAGGATGCTTCCATATAAATATGACCAATCATGGCTTTACTGTTCTTAAGAGGAAGATTTTTAAAGATATTTTCCTATATATTTCTATGTAAGACTTTGATCCCCCATTGTGGCCCCACCCTACCCCCGGGGGTCATGATTTGAACAAACTTGAATCTACACTACATGTACATGAGGATGCTTCCACTTCAAACTTCAATCTACACTACCTGAGGATGCTTCCATATAAATATGACCAATCATGGCTTTACTGTTCTTAAGAGGAAGATTTTTAAAGATATTTTCCTATATATTTCTATGTAAAACTTTGATCCCCCATTGTGGCCCCACCCTACCCCCGGGGGTCATGATTTGAACAAACTTGAATCTACACTACATGAGGATGCTTCCACGTAAGTTTCATCTTTCCTGGCCCAGTGGTTCTTGAGAAGATTTTTAAATGATGCCATTATTTTTTCACTAATTCCTAGTTATCTCCCCTTGAAAGAGGACGTGGCCCTCCATTTGAACAAACATGAATTCCCTTTACCCAAGGATGCTTCATGGCAAGTTTGGTTGAAATTGGCTTAGTGGTTCTGGAGAAGAAGTCTAAAATGTGAAAAGTTTACAGACGGACGGACAGACAGCTAGACAGACGGACAGCTGGACAGACGGACGATGGACAAAGTGTGCTCAGAAAAACTCACTTGAGTTTTCAGCTCAGGTGAGCTAAAAACCCAACATACATTTAAACTAGAATTTCAAAATCATCATAAAAAAGGCAAAGAAAATTAAATCTATAGCAGATACAACATACATGTAGCTATTTCATAAAGACTCTCAGTGAAAGTACCCTCAAAGAAACCTGCTCTCATCTATGTATCAAAGATTTTTGTCAAAGAGCCCCAGCAGAGAAAAAGATGTAATCAAACTGTCATAGTACTCGGAAAAGTGATCTTAATTTTGGATAAAGAGTCCCTTCACAGAATTTTATTTTAAAAAAACCCAATCATTTGTTATGAAATGGATCCCAGTACAGGTCAAAGGACACCATTACTTTAATAATCATTATTATAAAGTTTTCTTTTAATACATTATGCTTTGGAAACATTAAAAAACATTGGTCATTGAGCCTTAAAATACAATTATGGTGATGGGAAGGGGAGTGGCCACACTTTAAGACCTGATGACATTTTGAAAATCCATTGATAGAGATGGACAGGAGGCTAATAAAATAATTAATTATTTTCACTGCATTTTTTTTTTCAAAGTAAATATTCCTTCCATAAGAAAATGAACTAACCTGAGCCTTTTAGCCTCCATATCAGCTTGTTGGAGTTTCCTTAATCTCATTCTTTCCCTTGGGGGTAAGTTTTTCAATTTCACCTCCTCCTCTCTGGACTTCAAGTCACTCAAGTAAGACTTTTCAGTGCTGGCAAAGATGCAAAGAATAAAATTAATATCACTATAATTCCAATATATTTCAATATTTACATAATGCATATTTTATATAATAAATAAATATAAAAGTATATGTCCTTACAGTAACTTAGCAATATCCTCAGCATCTCTGCTACTGTTTTCTTGACTTTTGGCATGAAATTCTTTTGACAGTTTCTGAAAGTAGTGATTTTCTATAAATTCCATGTTGGTAAGATTACCTGATAAGTTTTATTGATATTCTATTCATACAGCATACATGTAACAGGTAACGTGTGCACATTTAAATATCTGCCTTTTGATGTTCAAAAGAGAGCCTTCAAACATTTCACATTCTGAATAATTAGCTTCATAAAATGTAAGGGTTTTGATAATACTTTTTTTCTTTTTATTTCAATAAAAACATAAGTATTCTCTGCATACCAAGCACAACATTGGCATTTAGCCATTTTATATGTCACTGTGATGTAACTCGGTCCTCCATCAAAGATTATTTTGAAAATCTCAGTTCTTTTAATTGAATCCTCCCTTTTTGAAAGGGAACTGTAAAATCATTTATTTTGTGGGATAAAATTTTCTAGGTTTGAAAAAAATATTGGTTTGAGAGAATTTGATTTCTGTTTAAGATGAAATTACAACATTTTGTGGAGGATATGTACTTGCGAGTCTCTTCATCACACAAATTAAAATAAAATACATGTACTATCCTTACTGCGATATGGTTCTTGATCATGGGAACTTTTAACAAGTCTGTTGCTGATGGTCTCTTTTCTGGATCTTTGGACAACATTCTACAAGAATATAACAACAATTTTCGTAAATCATGAATCAAATTTATACCATGAAACCTTTTAAAAACAAACACACATACACACAAAATCTTAAAGCTTCAAGTCTTCTAAAAATAATTTGTGTTTTATCGGCATCAAAACATTCTAAATAAACACTGAAATTAAAGACTCTTTCAGGATAACTGTCATACTGCTACTTTGCAGGGGAAATTTATATATTGATATACCAAGTACTTTGGTGAATATGACATACCGGTAACAGCTATTGCTTTATAAATGCTAGCTAAAGAACTGTAGCCCTCTGAATAAAAATGTTGACAGCCTGGAGAGCTAAAATGTAACCCAAAGGAAAAAACAACCAATATATTTTGTGCACAAAAAGTTGCACTTGGTTCTGCATTGCTTTCTCCAAATTCTTACTTCAACTACACAAAAGCTCGATTTTCAAAAAATTTCTTAGACTTCTTTTAACTACTCTTGTAGTTGATATCTGCACGAAGCATGTTGGGTTGAATTGTCTTGCCACCCAAAATGGCAGTGTAAATAGGTGAAATTTTGGATGGTCTCAATTCAGGTCAAGAAGGGCCATTACCAAAAAAACAAAACTAAAAAAAAAAATAAAGAAATCGAGAAACAGCACACCTTTTTGTGTGCAGTAAATCTACATTTTTTACAGTGGGTGGCACTGTAGCTCTCTGGTTGTCCATCCAAATTTTTTCAGACCAGCGAGCTACAGATCTGGAGCTAAATAAGTGCCATTCAATTAATCTCGCTATACTATATCAATTTCTTCTGCAAAAGACAAGAGTTACTTATCATGAAAAGGTTTATACTTACAGTTTTAAAACATTGTTTAGTTCTGAAAATTTATCTGGTAGTTTTGGGACCTCTCCCTCTACAATCTTATACATCACTGCCATCAGGCTCTTCCCATCAAAGGCATGCTCAAGTGTACACATCTCATATAATATACAACCTATAGACCTGTAAAAACAATCTTATACATCACTGCCATCGGACACTACCCAATAAAGACATACTCCAGGGAACACATCTCATATAATATATTCATATAATGATTGACACTATCAGTTTACTATGACTACATCAGATTAAGATAACTGAATATTTCAACAAAATAAATACAAATTATTTTCATTTTCCATTAAATATTTCAATGTGAAAGATGACATCTAAACAAGTAATTTGAACTTTATCTTGTTTAGTGCATATTATTAAGGACAGATTAGCATAAAAATTGAATGTACATTACTTTTACATACCAAATGTCTGATTTAGAATTATATCCTTCATGCTTTAACACTTCTGGGCTCATATAATAAGGTGTTCCTGTGAAAGTTGATGCTAAATCTGTGGTACCCATCAATATTCGTGAAATTCCAAAATCTCCTATCTTAATCATATTTTGCCGGAGAAAAATATTTCTGAAAAACAAATTTAATTGTCTTATTCAATGTTAAACAAAGAAGTGTATTTATAAGACCATTCTCTCAAACAATACATTTCGGTACACACAGGATCACCCTAACAATGAAGAATTCTTTAAGCTTTATTTTTTAATGTCATCATGAAAAGTTTTTAAGATAAATGTGTACAAATCATTTTTACAAATTATGATATCACATTTTTGGGGGCAAATTTCATTGTCTTCAAGCATATTTTTTTCCTGCTGTACACACGTACAGCACAAACCCCTATGTTACATCAAAATGGTTATCTTTAATGTAATCATCCATTTCTAAATAAAGCCCACTTTCAACACTGCATCATTATTTTGATGTCAGCATGTGATATTATATAAATACTGCATGTAGTTGAGTGTAACATTGAAAATTTTCATCCCAAGAAAACCATTGTCAACCGAGGCTCAGCCGAGGTTGACAATGGTTTTCTTGGGGTGAAAATTTTCAATGTTACACTCAACTACATGCAGTATTTATTATATTATGCTGAATGTTTTATACAAATACATATTACAGTGAACCTTGCGCGCATGAATTCTGCGCAGTCAATATTTTTTGGAATAACACCAGTCGTCAAGCAATGTTAACTGTTGCTACGCTGGTGGGCGTGGCTTCATTATTCAGCGGGTAATAGTGTTTTTTAACAAATGTTTCTTGACGAATCAGATTCAACTAATTTACATGAAAGTATAATATTATATAAATATTGCATGAAGTTGAGTGTAACATTGAAAATTTTCACCCCAAGAAAACCATTGTCAACCGAGGCTCAGCCGAGGTTGACAATGGTTTTTTGCGAGGGGTGAAAATTTTCAATGTTACACTCAACTACATGCAATATTTATCATATTATACTGAATGTTTTAAACAAATACATATAACAGTGAACCTTGCGTGCATAAATTCTAAGTCACTATTTTTTCGGGATTTCACCCGTCGTCAAGCAATGTTGACTGTTGCTACGCTGGAGGGCCTGGCTTAATCATTCAGCGGGTAATAGTGATTTTTAACAAATGTTTCTAGACGAATCAGATTCAACTAATTTACATGAAAGTATAATATTAATGTTTAACATGTAAATAAAAGATCTGAACACAGGGTATTTGAATGTCACTGCTGCTTGTTAGTCCTCAAAAGGTGCGGTATTCTAGCTACCGTATATACTCGCCTATAAGTCGGTTTTTTGGGAGTTAAACTTTGGTCCAAAACTCTATATCCGACTTATACGCGAGTTATAAAAAGACTGGTATTTTAGCAGGTCAATCCCTCTAATTTAAACTTAAGAAATACAACCGACTTATAGGCGGACCGACTTATAGGCGAGTATATACGGTATAAAATCAAAAATGGACAGATAGTGCACATCTTAGAAGTATCCTGTACAATGACTCCTACAAACAAAGTATACCATCAGTGGCTACAATCTTAATTTTCTTTTGTCCTGATAGAATATATTGAATGCACAAAACATTCATATTGACCTCTCCAGAAAATAGATTCTTTACTACCAAAATATAACAAATAAGTTGCAGCACACAGCAGATAGGCATGTGTAATCTGAAAATTGCCATGTATACTGAGCATGTAATTAATAAATTGTGTCAGAATTTTTAGTAAAAGTTTTAATAAAATTAATTCAATAGTTTTGGTGCAAAATGCAGGAGTCTATGACCTCTTATACATTCATTCATTGCAATTTGAAAACATGGAGTGAAAATGGAGTTAAGATACAGCATCTAAGTTTTGCATCAAACGGTGTATCTCTAAAATCTAAATGCAACATATGTACAAGCTGGGTGTATATACTATAAAGCATAAGCTTAAACGAAACTAGATGCTGCCCTTAATCACATTCTTCTAAATATGAATGCGAGTGCAGATAAAGGACTTGAATAAAACATCAGTAGATACACCAAGCATATGTCATAATTTTCTTAGAATCCCACTTAATTAGCTAAAACATAACTAAAATTTTGCGGATGGACAAAAATTATTACACAGGAGATCTTATTACCTGGTTTTTAGATCCCTATGAAGAACACGCCTCTGATGCATGTAATGGACTGCTAACAGTAGTTGAACAAACCAGTCCATTATCAACTTAGAATCCAGCTGCTGTTTATTCTTTACACATTCATTTATCTTACAATCCAAATCACCTCCCTTCAAAAGCAAAGACTTACAGGTGAAATAAATATTGTTATAGTATACAATTAATTTCTTTTTAAAAGTTCACAAAACCAAAGACATTTTATTTTATATAAAGTTGTGACAATATTGGACAATAATATATTACATTTTTCACTTTATATGGAACATTTAAAAGTTACCTCACAATATTCTGTAACAATACAGAATGATTCTCCATCTATGAAACTGTCATGAAACTTAACAATGCTTGGGTGATCAAGTTTGGACAAGACCCTGGCTTCTCTTACTGCATCAACAGTCTCATCTGGTTGAAGGTCTCCAACAGATATCTCCTTAAGTACTTTTCTGATTGTATTGAAAAAAGTATGTTGCTTAAATTTCACATTCTAATGACTATGTTTATAGCAAGCATAGCTAGCTCTTAAAGCATCACCTGGGCAAAGAGAAAATGAATTCGGACTGCAATGCAAATGCATCTCACTGCTAACTATGTTCTCATGGTAACAAGAAAAGTTCAACAAACTGTCCCCAAGTTTTACACTACTGATGAATTAAGCACAAATATAATAGGTATATAAGAAATGTTTTAACCTTCTATCAATACTTTAAGCTCCCAAATAGCCGTTGTATCCCATTACACCTTAAGACATGCTATTTGCAATACAGAAAAGCCATAAAATTGAAAAATATAAGCATAGGATTAAACTTATAATTTCTCGTTAATTTTTTTCTTTCTAAACTGTCAAAACATGAGACATGGCAAGCAATTTACGTACAAATCATATTCCTCTGTGTCTGGGTTTTTTGATCTCAGATCCTTGCATAGATAAGCTGTGCCAAAGTTGCCCTTTCCAAGTTTTTTGACGATTTCATATCGATTGGCTAGCACCCTGGACGTCTTCTTTGATGATTCTTTTTTCCTGTGAGACATCTTTGACAAAGTCTTTGTCATGCAGCCTTGGAATTCTGCCAGCTACCTTCCACAATTAATTATCCGTCTGCTTTTGTCCTTCGACTTGCAACGTTCATAACATCGATATATATATTCAAAAGCAGAAAATTACCTCATAATTATAACACCATGATAATATATAGTCAAACTTTGTAGTTACTCCTTCTTAAAACAGTATCACATGTTTTCGTTGCAGTGTGTCAATCGGCCATGTTTTTAGCGTCGCTCGTTACAGACGACATAGGTACATTGTGCATCGTTTTCTGGCTGTATATATCTTTGTTGCAAATTATCTGTGCTACTAGGGGATCAGTTAAGTAAATATTTATTGATGTACCTCTATGTTTTCCCCCCTACAGGTAATCTACAGGTGCTACTGTTTACGTGCAGGTACCCGTTCTTGCCAAAATGCACCCTGGGATCAATCTGGGTCATCAATATGTTTTATAAAACAAGAACCAGCGCCACTTTAAATTTCCGGAATATTTTAGAACACAGACACTGATGCAAAACTTCATTTATTTTTAAATTATTTATTTCCAAATGCTTATAGTTAAACAAGAAAATAACAACATAATTATCTCTAATTTACACTGTATAAACATCTGTTTGTAAAATCATAGGAGCTCGACTAGAGGCCACAATGCTAACCTGATTCCATTAGAATTCTAAGAAGTCAGTAAATTTTTTAAAAGAAGGGGGCATGATTTGTTCACACTTGTATCTACACTAACTGAAGATGCTTTAATATTTTCTTTGACTAATCATGGCATCTTTTAGATAATTTTTTTTCCTAGGGGACGACCATTTGATTCAGGGGGAGGGGCTGGGGGGGGGGGGAGGCTGGAGATACTGGAGGTAAATAATCTCTCCTCGAAAATGTTGAAAATAATCTGTCCTTGACTGGCAAGAAGAAAATCTGTCCTTGACTGGTGTGTCTATCCCCCCCCCCCCCCCCCACCACCACCACCACCAAATAGAGAGTTCTGGCGTTTATGGGGGGGGGGGGTTGTTTTACAATTTTTTTTAGTGAAGAAAATAAATTATCTATCCTTAATCATCTTTAAAATAAATAATCTGACTTGAAAAATTTTGCCTGCCCCCCCCCCCCCCCATCTAATGGTTGCCCTCCTTTGTGTTTGATCTTCTACTGTGGCCACTCCCTACCCCTGAGGAATACACTACTTGAGGATGCTTCTGAATTAATATGACAAATCATGGATTGTTCTGAATTAATATGACAAATCATAGATTTGCTGTTCTTGGGAAGTTGATTTTTAGATATTTCCTTTATATTCCAATGTAAATTTTTTATCACCCATCGTGGCTTCACCCTATCCCAGGGGGTCATGATTTGAAATCAACACTACCTGAGGCACTCATACAGCCTTCATTTTCACTACCTGTGTCAACTCGTTGCTGTTGGACCCTGACAAATTTCATTTGATATCTTTGGGCTTGCTTCTCTCATTGAGAAGCACCAATCAAATTGAATTAGACAGACAATGTAAACAGAAAGGAATCAGTTGACACCTAAAATTCACGTGTTACGTACTGTTTCTCACCAAAAAGCTTAATGTGATTGGTTGAGAGACACAAAAAAACAATCAAGATTTGTAATTTTCCTGAAAGATGTTGCTGCAGTCAGCCCACATTTTAGATATCGAAATTTGTCAGGGGTCCAGCAACGAGTTGACACAGGACCCCTAATGTTGTGAGGATGTACCTGAGGATGCTTCCACATAAATATAACTATAATCATGGCTTTGCTGTTCTTGAGAGGATGATTTTTCTTATAAATTCATATGTAAAAATTTTACTGCCCATTATTGCCCCTCCCTAAACCCAGAGGTCATGATTTGAACAAACTAGAATCTACAATATGTTAAAAAGTTTTTGTACAAGTTCTATCTTTTCTGGAACAGTGGTTCTTAAGAGGAAGATTTTTAATTGACCCCACACAATTTTCAGTATTTCTTAATTATCTCCCCTTGGAAGAGAGTGTAGCCCTTCATTTGAGCGAACTTGAATCCTCTGTACCCAAGGATACTTTGTGCCAAGTTTAGCTGAAATTGGCCCAGTGGTTCTGGAGAAGAAAATAAAAATGTGAAAAGTACAACAACGATAACAACAACGGCAGACATCAGAAAAGCTCACTTGAGCCTTCGGCTCAGGTGAGCTAAAACTGATTCTTCTTACATTTGCTCTATCTACAACAGACAAACTTCAATCAGATAAACTCAAGCCTTTAGTTCAGTGCAGGTAATAATATAGTCTTGTGTTTTTCTATACTGTAATTGATTTAAAACATTTTAATAATACATGTATGTCCTAAAATGATTAAAATATAGCTATCACAATTCATATAATATATATCATATAATACTATATATTATAGATATGAAACAATAACATAAAAGATCTCAATGATTGTGTTTCTTATCAAAATGGTATATTCATGTATAATTATATAAACATATCACAGATTTTTTCCATTAAAGCAAATATTTGGATTTCAAAAAAAATGTTTTAATGGACAATAAAACTACAGACAAGGAACTTTTAAAAATTGTTCCTAGAACACCGAAAAGGTCACTTTTTTAAGTTCTGTATCTAACTGTGATTATAATGTTCTAATGCACATGAACACAAAATAACAAATGTATGCATAATACTTTGTTTGAAATATCAAGCCACTCACATTATCTATCAGTATAGCAAGGCTAAAAAAAAAAGAAAGAAAAAATAAAGTCGTATTGAATGCATTGCCAGTATTCTTATAGTCAGTAGCAGAATACAGGAACCTGAGAAAGTATACATCATAGTTATAAATAAGCATCTACTGATACATGTACATGTATTATATTGTTTCAACCAATATGGCACAACAAAATAATCACTGATGATATATGAGTAAATATTATGTACAGCAATTCATCTCTATAGATGTTGATTTTTTTCCCTGAAAACATTGTAAACAGTCTTTCAATTATAAACCTTGTCATGATATGCTATTGATATCTCTGTAACTTGGCCATTTCTTTCATAATATCATAAGCTGCATAAAGTTATCATGCTTGCTAAATATATCCCACAATCCTCATGTTTATTATGATGACTTTGGGGCTCTTTCACTCAAAATTTAAAAATGTGCCAATTAATTGCTTGCAATTTCATTGTGAGGCCATTCCAAGTTTTTTCTCTGTTTAGCGTCCACCCATCTTTCAAAAATCTACCTACCTATTCGCAAAAAACACACAAACCAAAAAAAATAAAACAAGGACTTTAAAGTCGTAAAAATTAAGTCATTCAAAAGATTTGATTTGATAAATCTATTTTCTTCGTTGAAAGATCTATTCTTCAGCAAAATCGAGGTATTTAATGCTTAAAATATTCCTAATATGGCATATTGTAGACAAATATTTATAGAAATTGACAGAATTAAAAGATTTTGACCAGAATAACCGATTTCAGGACTCCTAATGCTGTTTGTTTTTTCTGATATTGGGTGTCAAAAACCAAGGCGCACAGGGACGCTAAACATAGAAAAAACTTGGAATGGCCTGAATTGGTATCTTATGAAGGAGATATAATTTAAAATGTAAGTGATTCTAGTTAAGTTCAGAATTGAGATAAATAAAAGAAAGAATTAAAAAAGATATAATGAAATTTTACCTCAAGAAAATAATGGGTAATTAAACTAAATACATTGCAAAGGTTGTATATCCCAGTTGCATAATAATTCAATTTTTTTAAAAGATCAAATGTATTAATTTAACACAAATGTTTTCCTTTCTCTAATAGCAATATAAAAAGTATGCATTTGATGTGCCCCTACTACATCATCAGCAGCCATGATAAAGTTTACCCCATGTTTCACCAATTTAGTATTGATATAAAATTTAATTTTGTTATCAGCAGTACTTTCATTAGATGCTGCTTTTCTTTATATATGAGGTTTTATATACACCCTTTACCCAAGGCACTCTGTGCTTGAAGTTTGAGCCAGATTGGACCAAGAGAAGAAAAAATATGCTTCAGACAAGGATTTTACATACCGGTAGGCATCTGTTCTGATCTTTACCTAAAAACTTAAAAATTTAAGCCACTTGTCACCCTTCTGCAAAAAGCACTCTGTAAATGAAGTATAAGATAGGAGCAAGGGGAGAGAAAATATACTTCAGATAACTAATATAGGATAGACAGATTGATAGACAGATTAATGGATAGTCACTAAAGGGCACCAATGAGCTTATGGCCATAATATCATAACTTTCATTCTTATCGTTTTTTACATGCTATTATGAAAAAATATTTGAGAATAAATGTCTACCATCTTTGTTACTTAAGTAAACAAATATGAAGAATGACGATTAAAAAAAAAAAGAAGATAGGTTGTGCATATGGCACAACACACTTGGCACAAAAAAATTGTCACAAAACATTACAATAAAATATATACAATAATATTTCAACTACAGACTAAAAAATTAATGTGTACAAAGTACTTGTATGTATAAAAGATAGTGTGTGACTGGTTATAAAAATCTTCATGACAAAATTATTGTATAAAATTCTCAAATATTAAAACTATGAAAAAAAAATTCAAACATAAATGGAGGATCTAATACGCATTGTGAGCTTCATACAGTGTATAATTAAGTATGGCTAACTGTTTCAGGAATCCATCATTTGGCAGGACTTCTCTTTTAGACCGCACAGTTCTAACTGCTGTCATAAAATTCATCCCTCGCTTTATCATTAGAAAGGCCAAGACAATCGAGGCAGACCGACTTATACCTTTATTACAGTGCACAAACACTTTGCCTGCAAAGATATGTATTTTTTCTTAAAACATTATAGTATCAATGAACGTGGATTCTAATTTTTTATACTTGCTACATGTCATTCTTTAACCAGTAGATTTCTTCTTTAAGTAACCTGAGTCATCCAAGTGATCTTAATGCATTTGTTCTCAGATGTCTTCATGTTTGTAAACTTTTGAACATTTTTAATTCCGTGACATGACTAAATAAATAGGTGAAAAAAACAGTCAGTGATCAATCTCAAAAAACCTACAAACGGTACAAATCTGTGAACAGGGCATAAAACACGGACCCCTGGAAATTCCAGAGGTGGAATCAGGTGCCTAGGAGGAGTCAGCCACCCCCTGTCGACCGGTTACACCAGCTGTGAGCCCTGTGTAATGATCAGGTACACGGAATAATCGGTAGTCAAACTTCATATAAAAACAGCTTAGTGCCAAATGAGATGAGTGCTCTGGACTAACATGACACGAGTTTTACAACTTGGTAAGGACTCCTCTGTATTTTCATTCACTCTAGATGCTAATTAGTTATTAGCTGCAATAATGTAGCCCTCTCCAATTTTTTTTAATCTGATATTTTCAGGAGAGGTAGCCCTCTCCCCCCCCCCCCCCCCAAAAAAAAAATCGGAGAGGGCTACATTATTACAGCTAATTAGTTATAAGAAGACTTTACAGACACTGTGTATTTGATCATCTAGGTCCCTCACTGGGTTCTGAGCCCAGAGGATACAATTTGGGAAAGGTCATATACATAAAATAGCAACATGCATTTTGTTTACTAAATATACAAGAATAAATTAGATTTCCAAATAATTTATAATGATTTTCAATATTATAGTCAACTTATCCCTATCCTGGATCCTGAACACAGGGGGCATGAATTTCATAATTTTGGTAAAGGGCTAAGTACACATTAGCATTATGAAAATAGTTTGCCTGTGTGTTTTGAAGATTGCATCGCATGAATATTGATGGTTTTGGTACCACCCCTTTAGCCCCTATAGGGACTGGGACCATGTCAATGCAATTTGAAATTTTTGTCCTGCACTATCCACTGATGCTATATGTCAAAACTGGTTTTAAACCATATTAAACCATTTCTGGAAAAAGCTGATTGTCCAAAAATTATAACAAATGTGACTGAAATGTTGTATCTTCCTCATGTTCTAATGAAAATATTTAAAAATTTTAGTACTGCACATACATAAAATACAATCTTCTTACCTCCTTTGGCTAGTGCCTCATCTATGAAATTAGCAGCTTTCTCAAAATGTTTGGACATATCAAATGTGATAACATCATTAGCCTGTATTCCAAGAAACCGTATGCCAGCATCTTTGAAGTAAGAAGGACTTGTGTCAAACTGGCCATACTTTAAACCTTTGGCACAATTTACGACATGCGTTATTCCAATTCTTTTGAGTTCTTCTTTATTTCTAGCATAGTCTCTAAAAGATCATGGAATTTAATTCAAGTGGTGTAAGAAATCATTTCTTTCTCATAAAAGGTTTATATGTAGAATTATATAAGAACATTATTAACAAATTTTTCAAAAAAAAAAAAAAAAAATTGAGCAAAATTACCAGGTATGCAATATTAATTTTTAAAAATTTGAAAATTAGGATGATCCACTCAGTTTTGTATGCCAGTGTACTGGTTTAAGAATCCCCAATGATGACCTACCCATTGGCTATGATAATTCCAGGGTACACTTCATTGTAGGAATCTTTGGGAGTAATGGGAACAGTGAAGAATCGAGAGTAACCCTCTGGTAAATCATCATTTCTGTCCAATGCTTGAATGTCTGCATTCTTCAAGTAGTGTCTAACTCTGTTTAGAGTATGGTCATTATATTCCATCCTAAAATACACAGCAAGTGATCAATTCACAGTTCAATATATTAAGAGAAAGAATGTCAGAGGAATTTTGAAAACTTACACAGATTGGATCAACAGTGATTTCCCTTTATTTCAAAGTGGAGGGTTATATATCAGTTGTAACAAGCTAGGGGTGAGGTTTATGAAAAAAATCCTTGAAGACATTATAGCAATTATTTTTAAAATGTTTGATTTCTAAGCGGCATTTTAATATCACATGGGCAAAGAGAAAATTTGGAGTTTGCACATTGATACAAATGAATTTTTTCTGCAGTTTATTTTTTCTTTGTAGACTGCATCTTACCACAAACTATGTTCTCACAGTAACAACAAAAATTCAACAATAAACACACCTTGATATAAGGGATGTTGCAGATAAATAGTAGATTGAACGTTCTTTATTAAACAGATCCGGCACAATCTCTTGATTAAGCTATATAGCTTGATTTAGCTATATAGCTTTATTAAGCTATTCAGATTAGCTTGATTTAGCTACTTTATCACACTTTTTTCTCAAATGTTTTATTTTCCAAGTATACACAAAAAGTCGCACCTTGGTGCAGTAATAATATTCAACCTTGAACTCCTATGAAAATAATGCATGTAAAAATCACTCATCAAATTTCGTCTCCTTAAGAGACTTTGTACTCAAAGTTCTAAAAGTTTTGGGGCTATATAAAGCAATTGATACAGTTACTTCTTCAATGAAATTATAAAGGAGGCCAATTATGGTCAACAAGATAATTGATTGGTAATAATTCAGTACAATGAGAAGCAATCATACTTATCCATGCCTCAGCGCACACAAGGTAGTGTACAGTTACCCAAACAATGGAAATTCATCTTTTGCTTAAAAGTATTCAAATGCTGCAATGTTAGAACTATCTTTGATTTGGGTTGTTGATTTGATAACCCATATTACATATATGAATAGTGAAATACTTGCGACTTTTTGCCTATTTGGTACAAATAACATTTTTGTGAAAACCTGCATATAAATAGCTTTATCAAGCTATTTTGAATAGCTTAATTAAGCTATATAGCTATTTCAAGCTATATAGCTTAATCAAGAGATTGTGCTGGACCTGTTAAATTTTGCACTGTGCAAACTTCGTTTTAGTGATGCAAAGTACATATATGACGTCATGTAACGTCAGAGTCTAGACGTACCAATGTCTTGTGCGGTTTGGACAGACGGATTTAAATTAAAAGTGAATAGGTATCTGCACTCGCCCTAATGGTCGCACCACCAACATATTAAATGATGTATGGACTAGGGTGCAACATTAAAACTATCTTCTCATCGGTTCCAACATGGGTCTTGCTTGGAATGAATAAAATATAGGACTATATATATATTGCTCTATATTAAAGTGTGACATTAACCACTGACACCTGAATTTTTACACATGAGTGGTATGATTTTTCAATCTGGGCTTTACTCATTGTTATTTGCAACTCTTATGTCTGTTACTGATAAAAATTCAGGGCCTGTGCATTGTCCACCAAAAACACTTTTGATTGTCACATTCTGTTGTTTAGTTTAAGTTTGTATTCAATGTGTAAAAATACTGTTTACAATACCTTTTCTGGCCATAAAATTTATTTTTAGCAGTTATCAAAACAATCAAGGTAGAAAAAGTGCTTTAAAAAATTGTTGAATAAATAATTTAAGCAAAGATATTTCGTTCTGTTGTATTTTTTAATCATCAAATAATCTTTCATATATTATTATTTACGAATATTGATCTGTGATATTTGATCTGATAATAACTTTTAAAATGATAAAATAAATGATAATAATTGCAGGACCAAGAAATATTCTTTGTATGAGCTACTAAATAAAATGCAAGAATCAAAGTCAGGCATATGTTTGATCATGTGGTTTTAAGTGTTTTGAACTTAAAGTTAAGTATGACATGGAAGGAAAAAAGTTTTATTGAAAACTCATAAAAGCAAACACTGGAACAGGATGGTTCTTCCAACAGTCATTTCTTTTGTTTCTGGGGTGATATTAAGACTAGCATTGTTTAGAACTTCACTACCCGAATGGCTTGCCACGAAAACAGAAGTTGTTACTCCGCTTACATCATGGGGACGTGGTATGTGTTTAATTTCTGTCTTAATCTCAGCGAGATCCGTAGAGACTAAAAATTCTGGTCTGGTATCTCTACGTAGAGATACCAGACCAGAATTTTTAGTCTCTACGATCTCGCTGAGATTATTTCTGTCTCAGCCGCTGAAACTTGTAATAGTCAGATTCACAAAACACATGGTACTCGACCGGCACTTTAACTTAAAAATTGGGGAAGTTTCTAGTATGCCGGTCCCCAGAATCACGCGATTGCGCATGAGCAGTTATTTCCCTTGCCGTTGCTATGCAGAATGTAAACAAACCGCCATTTTCCCCTTGCTTCAACAAAACGCATTCGATCGAGTGATTAGGGTTAGGGTATTTTGTCTTAAGATTGGAACTGTTTTATAAATCCACTCTTAAATCTTCCTGACTCAGGGCTAATTCATGTAATTTTTGCTTACAAAAGGCACTGCCAAGTGCCTTTTGTGACCAAAAACTTGCATGAATCAGCCTTATGTCGAACTGCACTGTGCCGATATACCATCTTATAGGAGTAAAACATGAAACATGCAAAACTTAAACAAACTGTTAATTAAATATGGCATTGTATGCGATCTACAGATTAGGGTTAGAGTATATATAGCTAGGATATTGTAATTGTTTTATATTCACCCATGTTCGCATCTTATATCCGACTTTGGGCTTATTCATGCAATTTTTGCTTACAAAGAACCGAAAGAACAGGAAAGTTTTGCGAAACTTGGATGAATTAGCCTTGGTCTAATGTTGAAACATACGCGATATTGTGCGCTAAGTTTTGGCAAGTAATTGGTAAAAGCGACTTACCGTTTACTTAAGCTCGATATCCTAACCTCCTAATGTCCATATTCAGAATATTTTTTCTTTCAAATCAATGGTGATGCACAATTCAATCAACTAATTACTAGTAATTAGTTATCACTTGTTAAATCCCTGCATTTCTCACAAAAATCTCGCAATTTTAGTAGCATTTCACTTTGAGTCTTCATAAGTCTTCATTACGTCAAAACACAAGTGATGCACGTCATGAATATTTATGAGATTACATCAAAAACTGATCATGTGACTACATTCCTAAACAACGCAAAATGGAGTTTTATCTACTAAACAAGTACGTTATTTTACGAGACCTTTTAATTCTCATTTAAAAAACTGTGTTTAAAAACCAGTTTTTTAAACCATATTTTTCACAAGGAACACGATTTTTGGCTCAATTTTGCGATTTGTGGCCTTTTTTATCGATTTTGTCGATCGCTCACGCGATCGTATTATATTGTACACCGCCTTCGGCGGCACCTATTTTAGCGCCATATTTATAGGGACCGGTATACTAGAAGTGTTCCAAAAATTGTATATCTGCATAAATATACGTCGACCATGTACATTGTATTCAATAACTTTTAGCAAGCAAGGTTTTTCTATAACCCTACAGTTCAGGTCTGGTACAATCACTAGGTTTAGCTACGTAGGTAGAATTACCTACCGTAGCTTTATTTACCTACCACAGTTAGCTTTATTTAGCTATTTCAATCCAATTTTTCACAGTTTTGCTTTTTATTTAATAAAGACAAAAAGTTGCAAGCATATGACTATTAATATTTATACTAGGGATGTTTAAAAAGCAATCTAAAGCAGAGATAGTTTATACATTACTGCGTTTGAACACTTTTAAGCAAAATATGTATTTCTTTTGTTTGAGTAACTGTCTACCACCTTGTGTGTGGTGAGGCGTGGATAAGTATGATTACTTCACATTGTGTTGAATAATTACCAATCCATAATCATGTTAACCAGAACTGGTCTTCTTTGTTATATCATTCAAGAAGTAACTGTCAGGTCACAAATTAACTGTTGTATATAGCCCTAAAGCTTTCAGAACTTTGATTGCAATTGCACAGAAAAAGACACATTTTCAAGAGTGTTTTTTTCATGAATTGTTTTCAGATGAGTTTAAAGTTGAAAATTATCACTGCATCAAATTGTGATTTTCTGTACATCCTGAGAAAAATGATAATTCAAGAAAAAAGTTTGAATTGGTAGTTAAATAAAGCTACTTCAGGTAGGTAAATAAAGCTATGTAGGTAATTTAAGCTACGTAGCTAAACCTAGTGATTGTACCAGACCTGCAGTTGGTGAGATTGATCCCCAAGAAGCTTAAGATCAGTAAGTTAAGTATCGAGAGATCAATCTCCTAAATGGTAGGGATACAGAAAAAAGTTAACCTTTTCAGAGATATTGCAAACAAGGTCATGTCTACAAGACTGACTTAAAATGCTTTACACTTTTGTCTAAGCTGTCAGGGGAATAGTTAGAATAATCTTAACTGTGTCTCGGGACAAGTCCTCAATACACTTAGAATATGTCCCATACAGTTGCAATGTAGAAAATTGGAGCGGATCCATTCCAAAATGATTTTGAAGAATACAAAAGAAGTTGTACTGAAAATAACTACCAATTAAAACCTTTTTGAGCTTGTATATATGCTTTTTTACCCTAAAAAATAATCCATATAAAGATGAAAATTTAGCTTATTTTCTCAACATTTTTTTCTCGCTTCAAATTTACACGCCATGTTGACATTTCAATCTCTGGATTATTTGTAGAAAATGTGTAGATAAGAGTTGTCTGCCCCTGTTTATTTTGCTACATTGTCAACACTTGGAAAATTCTATCATTAAAATGGGTACGTAGGACAAGATCATTTTAACAATAGAATGTTCTAAGGAATAGAGATGCTCCAACCCATAAAAACGCCTAATCTGAATGTCTGAAAAACAGTGTTATTAAACCCTAAATTAAAGAGATTTTATTTAATATTTAAGATGCATCTTAAAGTACAGTTATTTTAAACCATTCTTTTGTCAATTGTGAGGCATTTGTGAATTTCTCATAGGAGAAATATGTTTTTGATATGAATCAATATTATTTTATAAAAAAAAAACTACAGGGATGAAAAGTCCCTTCAAAGCTGGGCCATGGGCATATTAGGTTAACAAAGGGCTTATCTCAGAGAAAATTGATATTGAAGGATTTCATTTTATTTAAATGATTCTCTAGCTGCAGAACTGTAGCGTTATGTTTGCAAAAACAGAAAATGGTTATCTTTCATTATTGTGACCAATAAAAATGTAAAATGATTGGCAATTTATATAAAATAAAATAAAAATGTGATTACATAGCACATATATACCAGATTGAAGCTCAGTGAAAACTACCATGGCTGACAAGTGACCTGTCAAATTTATATAAACAGCAGGTACCTAATTAGGTAATACATGGTATTTCTCCCACATATGTCAAAATCATTGATCTGCTGAGCAGCTCCTTTGAAAAGAAAAATTAATCAAAAAATTCAGAGAAATGTAAGGTATTTGATTTGGTATTGTTTAATTTTTTAGATATGTTACTTTAAGCATGTCACTTGTGGATTCTATATCCCAAAGGATTCTTAGGCACATTAAACAATATTTGGGAATAAAAAGAACACAAATGCAGTTCTTCAATAATATTCATGTACACATTTACATTACAGAGATTTTAAGTGTTTGATTTGCCTGTTGCTTCATTTAAATTAAGTCAGTCAAAAATGCATTATGCTGTAATGTTACAATACAGTTAATTTTTTTTTTAAGATTATTCATCATGTTGCTTTGCTTTCACAAAGGGATGCAAGTTTTGGTACTATTGCATATGGACTCAAAATAAAAACTTGCTGCATTACAGACTCAATGATTTCTATTTCATTAATGCTAGACAAAGACTTACTAGTATCTCACTTCTCCATTACAAGTCAGACTAATTATTTTTTGTTTTTCTTAACTTCAGCAATGGAAGGACTAGCACTTCACAAAGAGGGTATTTCCCCATACTCTGGTGATGTTTTTCATGAGGTAATTGCCTGGTATCACCAATAAATCTGATCATTATTCACTTTGTAATAAATTAATTTTTGTTTAGCATCATATATGTACATGCATGAACTGGTTTTTAAAAAATATGTGTCCACTGAGCTGAATCTTTCCTATTAAAATCATTTTTGGATTTTTTAATATTGTTTAATGAAATTGTATCTTTAGTGACATAGGGTAAAGAATATGCCAAAAGAAATTTTCTGAGTGTAGGTAAATTATTAGTCCATTCTTTAATTTCTCTATTCTTTGCCAAGTCTAACTTAGATTTAACTCATTCATGTCCTTAACTCATCAGAGTGACCATCTTATATGGTCAATAATATACAATCATGACATGTTGTGTTTCTTTGACACGACACAATCTAGGCTTCTCAATAGTAGACCTATAACTTAAACACTCTGACAACAATTATTAGTGATACTGAAACTCTGTCTCTCATAGATTCTATTACAATTTCTTAAGGTTATGATAATGTAGAATCTACAATTTTGACTTTTTGAACACATATATTTTTGAAAAGTTCAAGACAATAATTGGTGGGACACACACTTGTTAGCTCACCTGAGCTGAAAGCTCAAGTGAGCCTTTGTCCATCTATCTATCTGTCTAGCTGTCCACCCTTCTGTAAATTTTCACATTTTCAACTTCTTCTCAAGAAACATTGGGCCAATTTTAAGTAAGGTTAATACAATGTACAAAGCATTCCTGGGTGAAGGGGATTCTAAATTCTTAAAAAGGATGTTGAAGGGCCAGGCCCCCTTCCAAGAGGAGATAATCAAGAAAAGGTAAAAATAGGGTGGGGTCATTAAAAATTCCTCTCCTCAAGAACCGCTGGACCAGAAAAGCTGAAACTTATTTGGAAGCTTCCTTAGGTAGCGTAAATTCTAAATTGTGCAAATCATGGCCCCTGGAGGTAGGGTGGAGCCATAATAGGGAATCAAAATTTACATGGAAGTATATAGGAAAAACTTTTAAAAATTTTCTTCTCAAGAACCACTGGGCCAGAAAAGCTGAAATTTATGTGTAAGCTTCCTGAGGTAGTGTAGATTCTAAATTGTTCAAATCATGGGGTAGGGTTGGTCCACAATAGGGATTCTATAGGGAAAATCTTTTAAATCTCAAGAGCAAATCCATGATGAATCATATTAATGTGGAAGCATCCTTTGGTAGTGTAGATCCATTTATTCACAGCCCCTGCATAAAGGGTGAGACCACAGAAGGCAATCAAGAACACAGAGGAATACATGTATTTTTGGGGGGAAATCTGATGAAGAACAGCAGGGCCAAATTGAGCATTTTGGTCCATGGGCCTCTTGTCTCAATTTTTATTTGATATAGCTTGGATGTAATTTGTTATTTTCAGAGTCCTTTGATGTTGAAAGTTCTTGGATTCATTAGCAGATTTTCACCAAATACCATCAATCTTATATTTGTGGTAAGGTCCTATAAATGATGCTTATGTCTTTAAAATGCGCTCTCAAATAATACATTCTCTTAAAAAATGACTACTAATACTGTACTAAATATATGCGAGGAATTAATTATTGCGTAATTACGCGAGAAGCACTACTTGCAAAATAAAATTACTCACTTTTATTTTTTTGGTGCTTTAATGTATGTAAAACCTGTAGATAAATCACCCATTCACGAATTATTGTTCTCGCAATTTGACGCCCTTGGGCCATTTCGCAATATTAAGTACTCGCGTAAAATAAGGAATCTACAGTATTCTCTGTGGGGATAAATTGTTGACAAACTGTTTTGTTCTTTTTAGCTACTGGATATTATCCAAGGAATGATTCTGCTCCGGATATCTAATCAGTTTGGAAGATACGTGGTAAATACATGTAATGTACTATATATGTGTAGAATTTCCTGCTTCCTTTTCTGAACATCATTGTTGGACTTAGAATATGAATGAAACAGTCAGTGAAAGTTTTGTAATAGAATACTTATAGCTGGTAATGCAGGAACAATTCTTTTGAATGAATTTGTCATGGTAACACTAGGAGTATATCACTCATATAAATCTTAAAGCAAGATCATAGAAATTATATAAAATATAAGGGAGTTAAGTTTATAAACAGACACCACAAAACAGTATCTATGTTTTTATTTTGTTTGATGATAGTCCAAAATAAGATATACACATAAATATTAAGTAAATATTTTCTGGTTTTGAACATTTTAAGCTCCAGAGACAGGCATCAAGAGTTAAAGATTTCCACCCAGATGCTAAGAAGTTTTTACTCCGAAGGGAAGATGTGTGGGATCTTCAGTTTTACGTAACAGTGGCGTATGTTTTTAAAATCTGATTTTTTTGGAGCATGGTTAGAAAGCCATGAATGACATTAATATTAATCAAAGGGAGGCAATTCCATCTGTTTCCTGGAAGTAATATATTTGTATATATATAATAATTATGTATTACCATTGCATAATGATAAGTGAATCTAAATGATATGACAAGGTCATATGTTATACACCATATTTAGTAAAAACACAAAACAACAAAATATATGTTAGCCACTCATCTACCAAAACAACAATATGAATGAAAGCATAATGACTAATAGCCATCCTAACATTATAACAGTACATGTATCTGCAACATATAACAAAGGTAGAATGACAATATGTAATAACAGTTTATATATACAAGCTTATGTGTCACTGTTGTTGATGTTACTTACGTTTACAAACAAGAAGACATTTCAGTTTTGTCCTGTATACATTGAATGAATATCATTGCTGCAGACTATTGAAAATTGATGTGTATAAAGATGTGATTTCTCTTGGTATAACTTGCTGTAGTTATATTGCAGATTTTCCTTCAATCCGTACAGTGTAGCTACATGCCTGGCAAAGTCCACAGCTGTGTTCAACAACATTGTTATCCTTCTTGCTCTGTATTATATGTTAAAAGGTCAGTTACAGGTATTAATTAATATTCAGGCCCCATTTGCAGTCAAATGTATAGATAAGATCATCCAGTAGTAGTGTATTTTTGCTTTATTCAAAATGAATTTGACAATTGTCATTGGTAAATTTATGTCAGTAATCTTCAAACACATGTACATGTATTTGTTGCAGGTAATCCAATAATATCTGCAGTTTTTGTAGCCTTGGCTGCATACATCTCCATGTATCCCATTATTCTTTGTGTGCCTGTTGCAGTATATTCAATATTGGTTGGTACTTAAACTGTTCACTATATATGCTCAAAGTTTGTTAGGCCATCATTAAAAATATCTTTGTTTCCCCTAACCCGACCCCAAAATCTCAAGTTGGGTCGGTAGGTAGGTAAATTATTTTTTTTCTGACAGCAGTTTTGGAAATACATTCTGAAAAATTGAATAATATCTTTATAAATAAGAAAGAACAAAGGAAACCGATTTTTAAACCGAATATCATACAAATGAAGCAACATGTATGGTAAATTAATTCACAAATATTATTCATTTGAACTTGTGAAATATCTCAGATCAGCATAAATTTATTGAAATCGAATATTTACAAAAACACAAGATTCACAAATACAGAACCATCGGACATTCGAGTACATTTTTCAAACCTACTATGATTTTCGAGTACTGACACAGACAAAATGTCAAGGGCCTTGCGTGGCGCAGTAATTCTAGTGTTTCGTTTTGGAGTCACGATGTAATTCAGGAGCTTATTCTAAGTCACAGGTCCCGACTGGGACGTGGGGACCGGTCAGTTGAATAAGACCGTAAAAAATGTAGGTCCAGTGTCGGAGTATACATGTAGATGGCACGTAAAAGATCCCTTACTGATGCTTAATGATCAATGGCCATAAGTGCCGAGTAAAAGTCTAAATTAGGAGCCATCCACCGGCTCAACAATTTCTAAAAGTATTTTAAAGCAAAGAAACAACCTGTTTTCAAGGGCCTAACTAAAGAAAAATAAACTGGACGACTCAGGAAGCCGTACCATAAGCAAATTTTAAAGATTTCAACACTATTTAGAAATAGTGTACATGTATAAACAATGTATAATTCAACCAAACCATATCTAAAATGATTAAAGTTTCATATATCTAATTTTATAGTCACGGAGTTAATACCCCATAGATGAAAGGAATAAAGAAACAACATCTGAATTTTATTTATCAAGATGAAATAATCATACAAAGACATATTTACAACTCCTATGGTCCTATATAGTAAAAATGGGATCATACATGAACTGTTTATTAGATCGAAACGAATCAAATGCAGTGAAATTTTTTATATGTATTCACAAGGAGCGCCCCTCAACTGCTCATGAGGCATGCTTTGCTATGCATACTACGTACGTTAATTTTAGAAGACACATTTGTAAATACCATCTTAACACTCCTTAGTCATGGTACTTTTAATTCACGAGATGTCTCAAGAGGGTAGGATTCTAATAAGTTAAAGATGTATAATAAGATTAATACGTCACCATTGTTTTATAACACGAACTAACCCTCTGTGGCCACATGTTGTGGGCACCAAACAAAAGCCGCCGTTCTGATAAAAAATGGATTTTGATGAAATTGTATTTTATAAAGTTGATTAACAATAAAAAAGAATATATTAATAATCTGATTTAAAAAAAACTGTTCAGTCGGCACGATTTAAGTTGGTCGGTCGTGTTGGGGAAACAAAGGTAATTTTGGCCTCACAAGCTAACAGTTTTAATCCACCCCAAATCCAGTTTTTAGGATTTGGTGTGGATTAAAACTCAGGGCATGCAACAATGTATCCATAAAAGCAAGAAAAAAAATTGGCATAGAAATATTTCAGTAAACTTAGGTTTCAGCTTATTATATACAGTGTGTTATAACATTGTAGATCAATTTTGTTCCTAGAAAAAGGTATTTAAAATGTATCAAGCATCTTTAATGGTCATATGGGTTAGCTTTAAGTGTCTTTTTTTTCAGATGTCAAGAAAGGGGAAGGTGAGCTTCACAGACTCGGCAGCTTCTATGGGATATCTCCAGATAGTGTGTATCACATTTATAGCATTGGCTGTAATGTTACTCTTCTCCATGTTGTTTGTGGGATCATGGGAATTTATACCATCCACTTACGGTTTCATGTAAGCAGCATTCACAGAATAAAACATAATATACAAGAAATTTATTTTTATAATCAATGGAACTTAGCAGCAACTTATAGATAATAGAGCAATGGACGAATTCAAACATCAATAAAATTAACATTTTTGATAAATGTTTATATTTTGACATACATGTACACCCTTTTAGAACAAATATACATGTACATACAGTAAAAGTGGTTATTTTCTTGTGAGGGAAATTAACACTAGTTATATGGTAAGCTTAAAGCCTTTTAAAATTCCCCATAAGTGGTTGAAAAATATGAAAGCTTCAGAGACGTCATTAGCATAAAATTCATGAGCATTTATTTTACATCGTTGCTTAATGTTTGAATATTCAAAATGCTTAAGAAAAACACACACTCACCCATAAATAATACTTTTACTTGGTACATTAAATGAGATGAAAATAAAACACTTCAATTTCTGACCAGCCATTGTTTACAATTACATGTATATGAAGTGATTGTTCAAACATGACTTTCAGACTAAGCGTTCCTGATCTGACCCCAAACCTGGGACTTTTCTGGTACTTCTTCACCGAGATGTTTGAGCATTTTAGAACATTCTTCATCTGCGTTTTTCAAATAAATGCTGTGATATACACCATTCCACTTGCAATAAGACTAAGGTAAAAAGGATAAGGGTAAACAAGATTTTTTAACAATGTATCATTTTGTTCAATCATTTAAAAAGGATGTGAAGTTGATATATATGCATACCCTGTTCATAGAGGTATACAGCAATTTGAGAACAAAAGTCAAAGAATAGAAGAGAAAACAATAATGAGATGCTCTTTATCCTTAAAACACCTGAGCATTATAGTTCTTGTATTGCTCTTTATCCTTAAAACACCTGAGCATTATAGTTCTTGTATTGCTCTTTATCCTTAAAACACCTGAGCATTATAGTTCTTGTATTGCTCTTTATCCTTAAAACACCTGAGCATTATAGTTCTTGTATTGCTCTTTATCCTTAAAACACCTGAGCATTATAGTTCTTGTATGCATATAGAATAATCACAATAAATTCATTAAGAAATTCATTTTCCATTATGTACTTCAGTCAAGACTTTGCAGTGTAATTATTTTAGAGAACACCCCACCTTTCTGTTCTACATGCTGCTGTACACTATCGGAATCTTTAAGTCCTACCCAGGCTATGGAGATGTGGGTCTTGTACTTGCCTTACTGCCTTTATGGAAGCATGTTTTCAAATGTATGTCACCTTTTAAGTTACATGTATTTATATTTTGCTCAGATAAAAATTTTATAAATGAAATTTGCAAAATTATTAAAATTGCAACATTCTTTTTGAAGTGAAACACAGAAAGTTTGTATCTACTCAGCATATCCTGGTGTTCATTGTTTTTACAGATATGAGGAATACTTTTGTGACCGTCTGTATGTTCCTAGTCACCACTGTGTTTGCACCTATACAGTATTACCTTTGGATCTATGCTGGAAGTGCTAATGCAAACTTTTACTTTGCCATATCCCTTGCATTTTCTACAGCACAGGTAAAATGGTTGCTTCACAAAAGCTTTGCAGGCATCATTTTTCATATGTCCATTCCTTTGGCAAACAATATTCATTGAAACATGCATATTTGATTATTTTGATTTTCTAATCATCCCATATAAAGATGGAGGTATTTTCAGCGAGTTCACAAAATAATGCTCTTGCTGCAATCTTGTTCAGGCCATAAAAAAATTAATTAATAGTTTCTCAGGCCAAAAAATTCAAAATTTAATGTGACAGGCATTTTTTTTTTCTTTTTTTTAGCAGGTGTTATACCTTTTTTTTCATATCAGTCCTTCAACAAAATTATGATTTCAACTGATTCTTACTTTTTTGTTCTCTCATTTATTATAATATGCATTCAACTTTAAATAATGTTATGCCAACAAAGTAAATTAATAAAATACAGAATTAACAAGAAATGTATTGTTTATCTAATAAAAACGTCTATCTATTAGCATTCATGAAAAGGGGAATAACTCAATTTTCTTTTTCAACTTGGAAAAATAGAAAATTGAGTTGTTTCCCTTTTCAATATGTCAAAAAAATTGATCAATGCGGCAGTGTTTGACGTGATGCGGCGATGCCTGAGAAATTTTTTTTGGCCTTAAATGCACCATTTTTAGCTCAATTGGAGTAGTCAAAGATCAGAAAAATTTGTGCATTAGTAAGGTGTCCGTCATCCGTCCATCTGTCTGTTTCTCTGTAACAATTTTTCAAAATGCTTCTCTTCCTATAGTTTGGTCCAGTTTCACATAACTTGGTAATAAGCAGAATACACTAAGATTTAAAATTCTTTATATCAGTTTTTGATTTCGATGAACAATGTTGCCATGGTAACTAAAAATAGAAAGATATATCGCACACTTAGTATACCAAATGGCCTACAATATACAGTGTAGTGCATTTACAAACATCCAAAATATTCCATTATTGATATTAAGTAAATCTAGCTATAAACAAATACAAATTATACCAGTACCTGGCAAAAATAGTCATTATTATCTTGAACAAAATCAATGACATTTACAGAATTGCATGGGATATATGGAGAACTATTGAGTGAGCGTCAAAAACTTAAGATTTGTGGATTTGAACCAACTTAAACCAGAGACATCTTGAAGGGGTTGTGTTATTTTTGATATCGTAGCATTCCGTTATATTAAAATCTTTTTTGGTTTAACTTGGTCTTCATATTAAAAATTGATTATATACCTCCTATTTTCCTAAAGACTCTTGGGACAAGGTCATGGCAAATCCTCATTTCATTAATATATGTAATCTTTGTGTGAAGTATGAAATGTTAATGTCTCTTCATTACCAAGTTATGGAACAATAACACTTGCACAGACAGACCAACAGACAAAAAAGATGACTCATATGTCCTGAAACTTAGTTTACATGAGGTATAATGATCAAGAATGGGTTTTAATCAAATTCAATAATACATGTTGTATGCCTCTGCCAAGTATGAAATGCAAGACCTTTGTCACAATGATCTACTGCACAATTGAATGTGTAAAGGATCAACCCAATGACCAGAGGTGAATATGCCATATATCCATCACATCACATCTACAATGTATATGTCCTCCTCAGAAAGAGAGACAGAGAGAGCTTGGGGATGGGGAGGGAGCATTACTAAACCTGGAGTCTTGTGAAAATAAGAATCTCTAACGTTCATGTATGTACATGTACTGTACATCATAGCTCTACCTGTCAGGATAAAATATTACTCCACTAAAGATAATAGGAATGGCATACCCTCATAACTCAATGACAGTGTTACTATGTACACATACATGTACACAAACATGCACATTTATCCCTTCAGAGGTGAAGGAAAATGAAATTATTGTAGTTTGGATAATTTTAACACTGAATAATGAATATCAAATTTTTGCTGTGTTCTTTTGACAGATTCTGATGGCTACTGATCTGCTGTTTGCATATCTGAAGAGGGAATTTTACCTCCTCAATGGAGACAAGCACAAGCTTCCTGATGGAACAGATGCTCAGATCATCTTAGACTCATGAACAATGGACTCAAATAATGGAGCAGAATAGTGCAATTCCATTCTGTTGTGTTTATATTTGTTTTTGAAACTATTTCTCTTTTTTTTTTTTTTTTTTTTTTGGAAGCTTGTACACAATAGAAACATTTTTTGTTCAACATATTTTTATACATATATTAGTTATGTTGTTAAAACATCGACATTTCTGTGAATCTGAGTGATTACAAATAAAGATCTATTAATGAGCAAGTGTTATGTCTGTCACAATATTTCTCTTATAAATAATATTACCCTCCAGAAAATGTATAACACACAAAACAAAAATGAAAAACAGTAAAACGTCAAAGTAACTAAATAGAAATATGGTTGTTCTAGTTTATTATCAGCCAGCATCTTCATCAGGACACATTTTCTTGTTTTTGTCATCTGCATCAGTGTCACATTTTCTTTTTACAGTCTGAGAAATATCAGAGTTCTTCCCCTTTTCACAGTTTTTCTGATTTCCATTGTCAATGTTGATTAAGTTTTTATCAATTTTAAGCCCCAGCCACTGAACTCTACATTTTTCTAACTGTTCTGAGGGCTCTTCTATGCGGCCATCTACAATATCCAGCACTGTGGTTGCCACGGCAGCAGAGGCCTGCTCAGCCAGCTGTTTGGACTTCTCCCAGTATGGGGTGGTGAATTCATTGTTGTTAAGCTGTAGTACACAGTTAAAATTCCTGTCCTCAGTTCTCTCAGTCTGAAAAAAAATTGATTAGAAACACATGAAAATATTTAAGCAATGAATTCTAATTTTTGGATGTCGTCAGGATGTATAACAGCACTTGGCCATGCCTACAAATTGAATGCCCTATGTTTATAGCACATTATGATAATTTGTTGGCATGGACAGGTGCTTTTATACAACTGACGACATGCAAAAACAAGAAATAATTCTTCTCTTCATAAATTTAAATTTCATTCATCTTTAATATAAATTTAGAACTTTCAGAACTGGTGTGATTAATAGACGTGGAAAGTTATGACATGGAAAGTTAGATAACACAAATTGATATTGAGAGGGGAAAAATGACAAATTAATTTTTAAACGTACAATTGTTATATTTTTACAACAATATAATAGAGTAATTGTTATAAATTAAATTGAGCCAAAACAATATACATTTTGGTGCTTCTAGTGTATTGAAAGTGTATGTACCTGTAGTTCCTATTATGTATTCTACCGCACCGTGACAAGCTTACGTTTATGTTATAGGGGGCTGAATGTTGTATATTTCCAATGGATTTTATAAAGAAAATTACACTGAATGTAAATGTTCATTTATGAATATATATATTCCAAGTAAATCTGACATCACATTTATGTGGGGTTCAAACACATGTACTTTATATCTGCACGTTTGTACTAGACATTCACTAGAATAGAATACTTACTGTAATGTAGACTGGCTTACTGATATTTTTGGTTTTGGTCCACTCAAACAGTTTTAGTTTGGGGCTTATTTTTATGGAGAAGTCTTTCCTAAAGAAAATAATGAAAATCTAAGAATGAAGAACATATGAAGTTACATGTACCTATGCTTTTGTGAGTAGTCTGTAAAATGCACTAGTTTAGTCTTGTAAATTATCAGTCATTTGTCACTGATTAATTTCTTGGTCTAGCTGTCATTTACCAAAGAAAGGTGCCAACATTATTTTTAACCAAATTGTATGCAAAACTTTTAGCATATACACCAGTGATTCGAGTACAAAAGTACTAATTCAATGTTTAAATGAAAAATATGAGACAAAGCAAAATATTCATAATTATTAATTATACTTTTCAAACCGGAGTGGCATACATATCCTGTATCCACCATCATCTTTTGTCACTACAGAAATCCTCTCCCCTTCTGACTCTTTTTCATCAGCTTGTTTTCTGGCCAGATTATTTCTGACCCTTAAGTAATATTCCTTCAATCCCCAGATCTCACTGAAAGTAAAAACTCGAAAGGTTACTCTCATGTCAAATTTACATGTACTGCCTTGACTAGTAAAAAAAAATAAAACTAATAAATTGTTTGTTTGTTTGTTTATTGTTTAACGTCCCTCTCAAGAATTTTTCACTCATATGGAGACGCCACCACTTGCCAGTGGAGAGCTGCAAATTTTGTCCTATATTTGGCACTCAGGGCCATTGAGCAGTAAGGGATCTTTTTCGTGCCAGCACCTACTGCTACATGGGACCTTCGTTTATACTGTCTCATCCAAAGGACCGGTCTAAATGAAAATATCTTGTTCATGTTTTTTTAAAAGATTAAAACCATTTTTAAATAAATAAATGTAAAATAAAAAGTAATAAGCATTATTAAATTATGGTCTTAGTCGTAAATTCTTTTGTAAAACGGGACCCAGGAAAAGAATTTAAATTTTTCCCTAAACACATATACTCTGTACATGTACATGAGTGTTATGTAAAAGTTATCTTTGATTTTAGCCCCAAATTTAACCAAATACTTACAATTTGAAAAAAAAACTTTAATCCACATGACATGGGAAAGTTTCAATATCAAGATAATTAGTGTGGTTCTGTTAAGTACTTTTGAAATACGAGGGTTGTCCCAAAAAAGACATAGACAATGTTTTTAACTTTGTAAATATTCAACCAATACTAAGCAAATTTTGCATGATCATCATTTTTTAAATGATCCTAAAAAAATTGAATTTTTAAATGAAAATCTTTCATAGTTATGACAATTTTTAAGAAGGCCAAAATGGTCTGTCAGCATAAGCTCAAAATCCGGAATAATCTACGTGTTACTATTGCAATTAGATATGTTTTTCTAATATGTACAGTAAATCATCATATCCCAATTATATGAATTAAATCACAAAAAAAACCTGCTTAATACATGTACATGTATATCAAATTTTCACATAAATGGCATTGGAGATGGAGGATTGGTGACACAATTTTCAAAGCGTACTTGAGTTTGCTGCATGTCAACAAATGTGTTCCCTGTGCACATGTTTATTGTATAAGATATGTTTTGATTGTGGTATCCCCATCAAAGACAAAAAAGAGAGACAGAAGTGACATAGCACACTAGAATATTAGTAGATAAGTTGTTTATAATGGCATAAGCGTAAGTGTAATGACTTTTAAATTCAGATGGTGAGAAATGTTATGGATAATGATTGATGTCAAACTCTGTGTACATGTATTCTTTGTTTCTTTAGGTAACCTTGCGAGGACTCAACTTTGAATTTGACCATGAATTAGAAAGACAGTAGTGAATTTTATTGCAGTGTATTATAGTGTGTTGTCAGTGTATTTGAAAAATCAGTTAGATGCCACAAGATGAGTGTTGTGCACAGCAGTCACTATTTTGAAAGAGAATGATCATGATGTTATAAGAGACAAATTATGTTTGCTTTCTTGCACCAACATACGAGTACACTTCCATATGCTTTCTTTATTTTTATATTATTTTTTTTATTAAATGTGCTATTCTTATGAAAATTGAAATTCATGATCATTATTAAAATGTCCCATTTTACTAGAAAAGAAATTTATTTAAGCAAAGAGAAACTAAATTGGTTACCCTGTCTATGACTTTCTTGGAAAACCCTCATACATTGTATATTTTTTTTATAATAAATTCCTATCTAAAAATTTGTTTGCCTGTTTTAGCCTCACCTTAGCTACAGAGGCCATGACTACAACAAATATGAATCTGTGCTATATTGGGGTGCTTGCATATCAATGCGAGTAATTGTTGCATTGCTGTTTTTGAGAAGTGGACTTTTTCTTCCATATACTCAATGTAAATATTTGATCTATTGTGGCCCCAACAAATCTTCGGGACCATATTTTGAATAAATTTGAATCTGGGGGTATCTAGGGATGCTTGCATAATAACACCTGCATATGAATAATATTGTGGCCCTGCTATTCTTGAACATTTTTAAGATATTTTCTTATATACATATTCCCACGCAAAACCTTACTTTTCACCAAATGTTAATAAGTGCCAAGTTTGGTTGATATTGGCCAAGTGGTTGTGGAGAGGAAGATGAGAATGTGACCAATTTACAATGAATGTAAGCTACAAAAACTGGAAACTGAATTTTGACCTCAAATTATTTCAAAATTTTATCCTTTTCAATAAGCATGTAGTGTGTCCACAGATGTAAAGACAAACAAATTTTATCAGAGATACCTGAAAGTTTGGTTATAAAAAGTTAAAACTGAATGCATATAAATGATATTCATAAGTCCAACATTCAAATTTATCTCACCTTATATCCTCCATGCTCATTGCAGCCTGAGTTAGGTCCCCTTCTAGGTAGTCGAGCATGTTGTCATGCATCATCTGTAGAACACAGTACTTGGTGTTCACCCAGTTATTGTCCCAGTCAATAGCCTACAGTTAAATCATAAACAATTATTGTCCCAGTCAATAGCCTACAAGTAAATCATAAACAGTTATTGTCCCAGTCAATAGCCTACAGTTAAATCATAAACAGTTATTGTCCCAGTCAATAGCCTACAGTTAAATCATAAACAATTATTGTCCCAGTCTATAGCCTACAAGTAAATCATAAACAGTTATTGTCCCAATCATAAACAGTTATTGTCCCAGTCAATAGCCTACAGTTAAATCATAAACAATTATTGTCCCAGTCTATAGCCTACAAGTAAATCATAAACAGTTATTGTCCCAGTCAATAGCCTACAAGTAAATCATAAACAGTTATTGTCCCAGTCAATAGCCTACAGTTAAATCATAAACAGTCAATAGCCTACAGTTAAATCATAAACAGTCAATAGCCTACAGTTAAATCATAAACAGTTATTGTCCCAGTCAATAGCCTACAAGTAAATCATAAACAGTTATTGTCCCAGTCAATAGCCTACAGTTAAATCATAAACAGTCAATAGCCTACAGTTAAATCATAAACAGTCAATAGCCTACAGTTAAATCATAAACAGTTATTGTCCCAGTCAATAGCCTACAGTTAAATCATAAACAGTTATTGTCCCAGTCAACAGC